CTCTCCTCAGTATAGTGCAATTCAGCAAAAATATCGATCATCTTCTCCAACCACTTCTCGACTACGTCTGGGTCTTGTCCTTTAAGAAATTTTGGTGGAGAAAACTTTTGGAATCGTTCAAGGGCTCTATCCTCACCCTCTACATGATTACCAGGGTTTTTAGGTTGGTTAACAGGGTTTTGACCCGGTGTTCCACTACATGGGCCAACAGTTTGGTCATACGCTGAAAGTAGCGGCTACCTGAGCATTAGGATCGATCCTAGATTCAGGATTTGGTTCAGGCGTTGGTTCTCAATTACTCCCTTCATTCAAGGGTTGTCTAATTCCGCGTCCACGGGCTCGTCCACTACGGGTTCCCTCCATTGGTTTAATCAATCTAGGGTCGAAACATAAATATGATATTAAAGATAAATATATACAGGAACAAGTGACAAGAAGCATATACAAATAAAATGCAACTATACATATAACACAACTGTATCAAACAAGTCACACAGTAGCAGTCAGTCAGTTACAAACAAAATAATCCCATAAAAGTAGCGGAGTCGTCAAAAGTACTATATACAAATTAGACCAAAAGTACAAAAACAGCTAACTGAGGGCTTTCCCTAACTACCCCATCACGCGGGATCAAATTATGGCTCACACGAGCTCTAATTTAGTTTCCAACCGAGCTAACAGACTCTTCCCCGTGGGTAGAACTAGGTGCGTCTCCCCCCTAGGAGATCCATCGCCCGGAACCTTTACTTGTGCATTAGTGCTAATCACTCCCTGGATTAACATTTCAAATTCATCAATAATGCCTCCGGACCTATCTCTAACCTCTCGGACCACCCTCGTAAGGCGGTCATTAACTACCTGTAACTGCTCTTGAAGAGCATTCGTCCTCTCTTGCTCCATCGAGATGTCCCTCTGGAGCTCGCGAACCCGATTCGCTTGCATCCTCATGATGCCCCTCAGTCTCACATCTCAGTATGATCCCTATCACGGGCACGCCTAAGCCTTTTCCTCTCACCAAATACCGCCACAATCACATGGTCGATATAGGAGTAGTTCTGACAACGAGTACAACCCCTAGTCCGACTAGCAGTATTCCAGCGTCGAATCGGTCCCCCGGCTTCTCCTCATAGTCAATGACTCGGAAACGCCTCCGAGATAGCTCACCTCCACCATTTTCATTCGCTCCGTCCATAACCTACAAGAAGAACACAGTTTAAATTTTAGATAGGGATAATCATACTTAATGATACCCTAATACATCACATGAAGTTCCGTAGAATCAAATTTCTAGTTCGTCCTGGTCATTTCTAACCTAAACTCTCATCTATTTAGTATTCGAGTACAAGAATCCAAAATAAAATAATTCACAACTCGAACTGGCCAGTTCCAAGAATAAATCATCTACATTTGAGGTTCCTCCTTGACATACATATCTATTCTCTCAAAGTACCATGATAAAGGAACCTATAACATTTCATGATTCGAAACTTAGGGCTCAAAAGAGTACTTAGTTCTTTACACTCATTCACAAAATCAGGACCATAATACCACTTGGGCCAAGTTTACTCCGCGCAGAGACCACGCGAAACAGCTTTGATACCACCTGTGACAGTCTCACCTTCCCCTAGGGCGTACCCCAAGGGTTAGCGAGTTGCCTGTCCAACTCTCGTCAGGACTACTAAGCCGAAACACACATAAACCCTACCGAACGCGCAATAGAATTTCGATTCTTTCCAACGGATACAGGAAAAGTACTCATAGCCGGAGAAACATGCATTTCAATTAATATACGTAACCATATGCTTGCATAAATATAGACATTGGAGTCTTTACAAAGCCCAAAATGTTTATACTTGATTAAAATACAGTTAGGGTTTACTATTACAGAGGAATTTAACAAAAGAATAGCTATAACTAGCTTTATTCTTTTCTTCAAAAATCACGGTTCCAAAATATTGTTCCCTGTAAGAAAAACAAAAGGTAACGGGGGTGAGTTTACGCTCACTGAGGTACCACAAGAACAAGCAGCCAAGAATCACAAAAGTACAATTGTACTCAATCAAATATAGAGGAATGAACACCACAGATAAACAGGAAGTAAAAGGATACAGATGACTCTCAAGTGGCAATTTCCTCTTTTGTATCACCAGAGCTTGATCGAGTAGTAGTTGACACTCCGTCAACTTTCAAGGAAGTAACCAGTCCAGTAGAGCACCACTTTATACCAAATTTCGTTCACCAAACATACCCCTTACCTGGTCCGAACGCCTAAACAGGAACAGAGGTGGTAATACTCGAGTATACCAGGAATCCAGAGTCTCCAATACTCAAAGATTCTGAAGAAACAGGCCCTCATGGTTTGTTAATTTTTCTCGACCAAGCCCCTTGCTGACTCGATTCAATTAACTACCAATGGGATTGAGGTCAGATTTAACAGGAAGGTCGTTGGATATAAGCTTTCAAATGGCATCAGATCATGCACAAGTAACAGATTCAGATGTATACAGGAATACAAGAACCAGACAAACATGCGAGAGAGCGAGTTTGATAAAGTACACCCTCGTCTCATTCAAAATAAACAGAGGTCACCGTCATTCAAGTCACAGATTGCAAGTACAAGTAAACTAGTTAAGCAACAAGTCATGCGAGGGGTACACTCACCAGATCAAGCAAAAACAATTTCAAAAGTTTCCTCCCGAAATACGCCCTTGATCACCGACACGTCGTAGAACAATCAAGGAAAAATAATTGAGACTCGACTCCCAAAACCTAGTGAACGGAATTCACAAGTGAGACTCGATTACGAGTCATGGGCCTATCCAAATGAACCACTAATGCAAAGCAAAAATGCGGTTTCGAAGTGAAAAGGTAATAGTTGGTCCTAAAGACACGAGTGACCCCAAAATCCTTCACTTCTACCTAAAATCATAGCTACAATGATTTACCAACTCCAAACTTAAAATGGGAAATGAAAGAAAGAACTGTACTAAGAAAATAGCATTTTCCAGTTTTGCACAACACTATTTGAAAAATCATATCTCAAAATTCTTAAGTCCAAAATTGATAAACTTTATATATTGGAAAATAGACACAAAGGATTACAATTTCCCAGAAGACACATTTGTCAGATTCGATCCATAAGTTAGTCAAATTCGAGTCTCACGTTGCTACCTCATCCAGTAAAAGACAGAACAGGTATGCAATTTCAGTCAACTTTGAAAAATCATAGATATTCATGGGAATTGAGAAAAGGCTGAAATTTTCACAATTAATAGTACTCTGACTCTAGTTTCAAATGCAACAAACAGAACTTAATTTCACCATTCTACAACAAGAAATAGCAGATTTCCCAAGACTGCCTAGGATTTCCCACGGACAAATTTTCAGCAGCACCTCCTTTGTTTTTACTAAGTTTTTCCAGCCAATTCAAGGCTTCATTCTTACCACAAAATAGCCTCAACTCAAGCATATACATATCAAGGCAACAACTCACCAAATCAAGCATATAACCATCACCTACTCAAGCTAGCAAATGAAACCCTAAACTGAAATTTCGACTCACAAGCTGGAATTTTTCGTAGGCAAGCAAAACTAACATATAAAAACTCAATATTATACATAACAAAACTATCAATCCATGACCAATGCTCAAACATCAAATAAGAGCAGAAAATTCACCATAAAACTGAAATTTCCCATGTCACCACCTCAACTCATGGAATATTGCATAAAACTACACATTTAACAACCCTAAGCCACAAATATGCAATTATTGGAAGCAAAGAGGGATTTCTTTGGCAAGTTACCTTAGAAACACTAGAAAAATGGTAGCTTAGTACTTCCCTCTAAAAAACCACTCCGCCAACACCTCTAATCCTCCTTAGTAAGCAACTTTTATGGAGTAGTTTGCAATTTTGATGGTTGGAACCCAAGATTGAAACAAGAAATTGAAGTGTAAGATGAAGTTTTCTCTCCATATATTTGCTCTCTATGGTTCGGCCAAGACAAAGGAAAAATGGGAAGAAATTAGGTCAAAATTGGTTTTAGGAAAGTTAAGACAACTTTAGTCAAAATCCATCTTCCATAGGTTTCATAACACTTAGCCTTTTCTAGAGTTTTCTCTCTTTCCCTTGTCTTCCAATGGTAATTTTATCTAGTTATCCTCTAATTATCTCCTAACACCTTATAAAATAATATTCTTTTGTGCAAAATTTCACCTAGTCGGCAAAATTTTATCGCATTTAACGCACTAGCGGGTCTTACGTCCATACTGTACTTCAAACTTAACATGAACTAACTTATTTTAGAAAAATTATTTAAAAACTATACTCACTTATAAAAATCTTTGAAAAATTAATATAATCAAGTAAAGTAAAGAAAATGCATGCGAAAAAATAAAATAAGGGAATTTTGCGGGTCCTCACTTTTTGATATTTATAATCAATTAATACAGAGGGAAATCAACACCTCATTTGTAGGGCTAAATTATCTTTTTATCTTCCAAAATTAGTTTCTACAGAGTCTCACATTTTCTGATTTGATTGACATTTTATAAACGCGTCTCAATTAGCAAATATCTGTAATATTTTCAAAATCTCAGGGGTGCCAAGTTCAACTATAAAAACCTTAGGGGAAATTATTGAAATAATTTTAATACCATATATCTTTTTTTTTTTAATACCATAAATCTGTTACGAATTAAAGAAGAGGAGGATTAACATTCAACTCAACCAGGAGTAAAAGCAAAGCTTCCAATTTTGAAATCATTACTCTTTGGCTTTTTCCCTTATTTTTCCCCTTCCATTATACAAGAAATGATGACATAAGTGGATACCCACTAATAGAAAATGAAAATACCTCTTTACTAATTTACCTTTTTGCCCACCAAGTACCAGAAAACGAGTTGTACATTGTGCTTGCCTACTTGTACGTCCTTTTTTTTTTTTTTCTTTTTCTCTTTCCAGATCCAAATTTGCTTTCCATTTCAACCCAAAATTTTTTTCAATTCTTACTCTCTTACTTCATAGTCTTCTTCAGACACAAAATTTGTGAATTTCCCCCAAAAATAAGAAGAAAAAAGGGAAAAAAATCTCCATTAATGGTTTTTTTCTACGGATGATTAATTGAATTAGTGCATTTTTTCTGTCATCAATGGCGGTTCCCGTCGAAGAAGCTATTGCTGCTCTCTCCACATTCTCATTAGAGGTAATTTACTTATTAATTTAACTACTTTTAATAGCTTCAATAAAGATATTTTCATTGCATTGCTTTGATTAATAAATTTTACATTTTTTTGGGGAAAATTATGTGGTTTATAGGATGATCAACCGGAAGTTCAAGGCCCAGGGTTTTGGGTTTCTACTGAAAGAGCTGCAACTACTAGTCCAGTTGGTAAGCAATTTTTTTTTTCGTTTTTTGGAACTTTTTGCTGTTCAAGGTTTTATTTTTGAGTTGAATTTAGAGTGCTATGGAAATTTAATTTTTTTTATTAATTTTTTGATATTGCATTATGAAATTTTTGTTGCAATTTGGATTTTTAATTTTCTTAAATCATTATTGCTTTTTATTTAATTTTGCAGAATATAGTGATGTTGCCGCTTATCGTCTCTCTTTGTCAGAAGACACAAAAGCTATTAATCAGCTGGTACAATATTTACCTGTGTTATTATAGGATATTGATTAGGCAGCCAGGTGCGCCATTTTCACAAATTTTCGTTGATTTTCTGGTGGCTTTTGGTGAACGTTGGAATTATGGCAGAATGTGTTAATACAAGAAGGAAAGGAAATGGGATCAGTGCTTTATACTTACCGGAGTTGCGTTAAAGCACTTCCTCAGGTGGATTTTAGTTTCTGATTTTGTAGCATTTCAGTATGCCTTTGTTTTATTTGTCGATTCTGTGTTTGCCAAGGACATTGTTCTGCAATTGCTATTTTAGGAAGTAAAATGCAAGAATGTATAGAAAATAGATATCTCTTTTTAAATTTAATGAGAATGGAAAAGCAAGCATGCTAAGTATGTAGGTTCGTGTTGAAAGTTGAAGGGTGTGTAATAGTACTTGTATGGACTTATAACGCAATTCTGGGATTCTTTGCATGTTCTTCTTTCTTGATATTCAGTCAGATAAAGTTTTCAAATTTTCATATCTTTAAGTCATAGTCTTAATTTTCTTAGTTGATAAAACAAATCTATTCTGCTCTGACCATCTATCTCTTGTCCTTGATATGTGGATTTGTTTGTATCAGCTTCCAGATTCTATGAAGCAAAGCCAGGCTGAATTGTATTTAGAAACTTATCAAGTTCTTGATTTGGAAATGAGCCGTCTACGTGAAATTCAACGGTGGCAAGCGTCAGCTTCCTCTAAGGCATGATTGTATTGTATAGTTTGGCCTTTGTGGTTTTAGGATATGATAAAAATATTACCTAAAGTTAAAAGCTAATCAATGCAGCTAGCTGCCGATATGCAACGATTTTCTAGGCCTGAGAGGCGTATCAATGGCCCTACCATAACCCATCTTTGGTGCGTTTATATGGCTTTTTTGTCCTTTACGTTCTGTTAGTTTAAGTTTCTCAACAAACTGAAATGGATCAAATAGGTCATATACAATAGCAAATGCAACTCTAATGGCTGTGGTTCTGATCCCTGCATAAATGTATGTTGAACCTCATACAAGTTTACATTTTGATCCATTGTATTCTTATTTGACTGATTCCGCATCTTCTATTGGTTTATGTTGAAATAACTCGGTGAGATTTCATCTCTTTCTCATGATAGTGTTTGGGAAAATACTAATTTCTCATGGTACAATGATTATCCATGTAGCTGTCCAAATTTGGAAATGCTAAATCTGAAATTTGACTAGGATTTGAGGACATCTGGCTAGATAATGGCTTGTATAAATTATAAAATATCCAATCAAAGATGGGTTATACATTTTATTCATCTCTTTTTAGAATGCAGCTTTAAGCTTTTGATGTGTTATGATTGCTGCAATTTCTCACACAAGTTGACTGTTCTGTATGATTTAAGAACCTCAAATATTTCTTCTTTTATGCTCATGAAACAGAATGCAGATTTAGCTAAATTCCTTGCTCACTCTTTAGAGTTGGTATCTGATGAAGCTGTTTGCCAAATGACAATTTTAATTAATTGATCTGTATTGTCAGCTATTACTAGGCATCTTTAAATCCTTTGTGTTGTGCAGTCAGACAACCTGTTTTGATATTATCTTTTTTGTCTCTTAAATTCTCAAATCCCATTCGGACAAAATGCATGATGATGTCCTGTCTCCGTGACCTTGATATTCTTGCCTGCAATTTTGCAGTTGAAATCCTTCAGTTCTGTCTTTATCTCATGAACTGATTAGTTATGACATCGTTTGAATGATTCAATTTATTTCACATGATGTAATGTGATTTTAGTGTGATAGTTCATGCCTATGGATCTTTTTATGGTTTCTTGGTTTTGCTGCAGGTCTATGTTAAAATTACTTGATGTTTTGGTCCAAATCGATCATCTTAAAAATGCAAAGGCAAGCATTCCCAATGATTTTTCTTGGTATAAGAGGTATGCATTAGATTCTTAATGTGCAAAAATATCATTGTATTTTTGGATGTATGCTCTATGTGCTACTTTCTAAACTTTCTAAGACTTGTTGTGAGAGGCTATACTGTTTCTTATTTCCTTTGGTTGGTAGAATGAGGTCAAGGAGAGTTGTTGAGTCTTACTATGCTAGGCCAAGGTTCTATACTTCCGCGGTCTGAAATAGACTGACACTCATGGGCATCTGAAATGATAATGCACCAATTACATAAATAATGGGGTGCTTATTAGTTTTCAACACTTTTGAAGTGCTCTCACTGAAAAAATCTAAATTAACTTAAAATTTGTGACTTTATAATCTAAATTTCTTCGTGTAGGTGTACATACAACATCTTTATACATTTAAAGAACTGGGACTGGTTCTTTAAGTGCTAAGAGTCTGAGTTAATACTTGAGGCAAAGACTATTGTTATACAACTTTCAGCCTCTAAGCACTTTGCTTACTTCTAGTTTCACTGTTAGGTACTGTACTGGAGTCTTAAGTATGAGAAAAAGACAATCATTATACATTTCTTGGGGGTATAAAATCTATCAATTTTTGGTCACATATGACAAGCAGAAGGACTTGAGTAGAAAATTAATTCAGTTTACCAGCTTCTATCTTTGCTTGCAGGATAAATTTTGACACACTGAAAATAATAAAATCATTGAATATCTACTTTAATTAGTGGCATAATCTTAGGGCTCTGTTCAAAAGTTTGGCTTTTTGATAGTTACTAATATGATTTGAGCAACAGGTTGGTGTTGTTTATTTTTTAACTTTTATTTTTTCTGCAGAAAAGGTAATTTTGAGAAAATATTAAAATGAAAACTTCTTCTAAGCAGGGTTTTTTCCCTAATCACTTTAGTTCCACAACAGTGGCCATGAGGAATTTGGAAGTGTCAATTTGGTTAAACAGAAGTTGGCAAGATTTAAGCCTTGTTGAGGATGGTTTAAATTTACATTTGGGTTTTGACTTCCTGATCTGTACCTATGACTGATTGTTAACCCCTATAGGAACGTAATAAAAGCACGTATAAACTTAATTGCATTAAAATCACATTTGGTACTTGTGAGCTACTAGAGTGGGGTTCAGAGTTTCTCACTTGTGAGATGCTAAATGGTTTAGATTTAGTGAGGGAAAAATTTTTGATATGTAACTGTTGACATTCATATCAAATTTCCTTTTTGCAATTCATGGAAACAATTTCCATGTTAAGTGTGGCTAATATGGTTAAGGCACTGCTCTTGGTTCTTCTATTAACACTTGCCGTTCTTTGTCGTGGACAAAATCTGTATTAAATCAATTTGTTGCAGTGGTTGGTGGTGAAAAGAGGAGAATAAGAAAGCACTATTGCTATCTAGTATTCTGCTCCAATTGTTATTGTTATTACTACTTTTTTGTGAACTACTACTGTGATTGTCCTTCTGACCTGAAATGGAAGGTCATTATATCTTAAATAATGGTACAGGATGGTTCTTGGGCTGAAAATCTTCTTTGGGTTGGATCATAATATCATATTTCTTTTGTTTTCTGATTGATGGATCCCCAGTACAAAAATATGAAATCTCCTAAACAGATTTTTTCCAAGTATCTGAGTTTTTTACCTTTGTGTGATGTTAGAAAACTAAGCTAAAGGATCAAAGAGAATATTTAAACTTTAGGTTAAATACCGAAAAGCCCCCTGTGGTTAAGCGGTTGTTAACATTACCTTCCTATGGTTAGGAAACCTACACTTGTCCTTATGGTTTTGAACTAAAGTGAAACTGTTAGCTTTCCCATTGAAACAATGATGAAATTACCAAATTGCCCTTTGAATCAAGGTTAACTAGAAATTAAAATGAATGTGTAGGGCAAAAATACAATTTCAGAAATATTTCAGGGTAAGGATGAAAATTTAGAAGAAAGCTTCTTCCCCATAATATGTTTTTGCAAAAAGGTCACCATATCTGTGACCAGGATCACAATTTGCCACTGCATTCACTGCTGAAGGCCACAGCTGACCGGTGGCAAAATTTCATGGATTCTGTATCTTGGATTCCTTTTTTGCATGGATTTGCATAGATCCCGATTTCATCCTTGAATTTATTGAAAAAGACAGGAGCATAGCGAATCGAACAAAAAAGGCCATGGGTCCTCACTCCCTTTTCCAACTTAAATTTCCAAAAAATTTCATGGAATTAATAGCAATGATAAGAAAATGGGCAAAAAACAAAAAAGCCCCCTCTGGTAAGTCTAATACACAGAAAAGCCCCCTATGGTTTCAAAATATACAACACGATACCTCATGCTTTGAACTAAATTGTAAAAGTGACGGAATCCGTTAAATTTAATGGAAATGACTTATTGGAACCTAAAAAAAAATTTTTATACTTAATTTTTATCAAATATACCTATTCTACCCCTTAACCCTCAATTCTCTCTATTTAGAGAATAAAACAAATGATTTTTTTGAACTGTCTTTTGCTTAATTATATCAGGGTATTTTGGTCATTTTGTCCATTTCCGTTAACTTTAACGGATTCCGTCACCTTTACAATTTAGTTCAAAGCATGAGGGGTCGTGTTGTATATTTTGAAACCATGGGGGGCTTTTCTGTGTATTAGGTTTACCACAGGGGGCTTTTTTGTTTTTTACCCTAAGAAAAAAGAAATGAATAGTCTATAAATAGTGGCAGATGTGGTGTGGAACTTGAATTTACTGAAACTTTGGTGGTTATGAATTAGGCCTGGTATTAGATTAGAATTCTACTTGAAAAAGTAAAATTGAACCTTGAAGTGTGTTGGAATTTTAAAGGGTGGGTAGAGAACACGTAGGCAATGTTCGCTGGCAGGATGAAGGAGGGAGTTGGCATTGGGTCTATTCTGTTGGGAAGGTGAAGGCGGAACAGCAATAAAGCAAAAGAAAGAAAGAGAAAAAAGAGAAAAGAAAAAGGAAAGAGAATAAAAAATATTTTTAAATGAGAAAATGGCTTATGTATCCTTTTGGTCAAAATTTTTGTAATCTTCAGCTGCTATTTATAATGTAAACTAACATTTCAACTACAAGGAGCAAAATATAGCTTTCAAACAATAGGGAGCTAAATTTACATTCACTCAACCACAAGCTTTTGGTACTTAATTCCTAAAATTTTAGACAAATGATATTGTCTGTGGAAAGTCTGGAAAGAAAAGGTGTGAAACTTGTATATTGGTAAGTAGTACTGATGTATACCTTTTTGAGATATTATGCAAAGGAAACAGAATGTTGTTTTAAATTGGTCTGGATTTGTATATAAAGACCATAACATACTGATATTAAATTAATAGACATGAGAAATTGCTGGAAAACTAGGGAAGAGGAAGATAACATCAAGAGATATGATTGATTTTGGAATGATTGAGATTGGGCTAAATAGAGCAGGTTGGGATTCAGTTCCATAAGTAATCTCAAGTACTGTAATTAAAGATCTCTATGAGTTGTTGTATTAATCCATCATCAGTATATGTAGTATGAGTAGTAGAGTTATGCTTCTTTATTTGGAGCTTGGAGGTGCTGTTTTTGATTTATTAAAATAATATTAATGCAATACTTGGTTGTGCTTTGCTGTAGTGACAAGTATGCACTGCTTCTAATTCCCCTGCCCCCTTCCCGCTTCTTAAATCCCACCCATCCCCTGCTAGAAAAAAATTAAATAAAAAGTATGCACTGGGTTGAATTTAAATGATATATTTGTATAATTAACTAAACGAAATTTCGTGGTCACATTTCAAGAAGAGGCAACTATGGCATATATTTCTGCAATTTCTTTCAATGGACATATAATTTGTCATGGGCCACTTTTTTTAGGTTGTTAATGGTGTTTGGATTAAACCTTTTCGATGAAAATGAATTTCACTTGCTGATTCAACTTAATAGCTTATTCATTTTTGAATCATATTTAATATGTCAGGACATTTACTCAAGTGAGTGTACAGTGGCAAGAAACTGACACTATGAGGGAAGAATTAGATGATTTACAGGTATGCAAATTTTTTTTTTTCAGTCTTGTGAAGCAGATCCAAAAAGGATTAACTTTTTATGCACTGATAGTGTAATGATTTTATTACACTAGCAGTTATGAATGTAGCAATGCCACATGTTCATGATTTGAATTTCAAATTTGAATTCATGTTATGTGGCAATGATCTAAATCTGCTAGTGTAAAAAAATGTACACTGACAGTGTATAAAAAACTTACTCATCCAAAAATTACATTCTTGATCATCATTTATAATTAGGAGATGGTATACAAGATCATTTTGTTGATGATCACATTCTGGATTTGATCTCAATCATTTCACTTCTGTGCAGATCTTCTTGAGCACGAGGTGGGCAATACTGCTCAACTTGCATGTTGAAATGTTTCGTGTAAACAAGTATCCTTTGTCTGGGAGCACATTTTCTCGGAAGAACTTTATCATCAAGCTGCATAGTTGAACTATGAAATTAACTTTTTTGTTATAGTCTATGTGGAAAAGGAATACGTGCGCAAACTATTTATAATTCTTGAATAGGCAGACAAGCTTCCATGCTCTTCATTTTGTGTGTGTGAGTTGATTTTATTTGCTGTTGTCATGAAGTTTTCCTGATCGGAGATTCATTGGTAGTTATACAACATAAGATGCACTGGAATTCAACTAAGGTATATTTTTGTCATATCCCTAGTTGAAAAGGTTTCCACTTGAAGTTCATGGTGTTGCTTCTAAGTATGATCCTTATAGCAGTTAAAATCAGTTCATAAGGACCAGTGTTTTTTGCAGGTTATGACATCTTTGTTATTGTTTAGCACCACAGAGCGCACTTGCTCCCAATAAATGATTATAACAAGAAAAGTATAAGAAAGGAATGATCCATTTTTCTATTTGTTGTTGTCTGGTTTCCACTAGCTCTTTGCAACCTTGTCTATCAGTGTGATTTTTTATTACACTATATCTAGAAAGGAATTGATTCCATTGTGCAGATACTGTCATTCTTGTGTAACTTCATTTTGTTTTGTAAACTAAGATATGTTATTTGATATACAGCTGGAATAAAAACTCCTTACTATATCCTGGTATCAGTTCTCCTACATGATTTTGGTGATTTGAGTTCCTTAACTTCCTGCAGTGTTGAAGACATTCTGCAGGTTCTCATAGTTTTTGCTGTTGAGTCACTGGAGTTGGATTTTGCCCTTCTGTTCCCTGAGCGGCACATTCTTCTTCGTGTACTTCCTGTTCTTGTTGTCTTAGCTGCATCATCAGAGAAAGATAGTGAGTCACTGTATAAGAGGGTGAAGATCAACAGATTGATAAGTATATTCAAGGTATATTGGCTTAGCTATCTTCTAACATAGTCAGCTCTTAAGAAAGTAATTCTCCTGCACTTTATTTTATCACATTGTCTTGTATTTTGTTCATATCTGATTGAACTTACTCACTTCATTTTGGTTTTTCTTTCTTGGTTTGCTCTTTTTGCTTAGAATGATCCGGTTATCCCTGCATTTCCGGACCTTCATCTTTCTCCGGCAGCAATTCTAAAAGAGTTGTCAGTGTACTTCCCTAAATTTTCATCTCAAACTCGTCTTCTCACTCTTCCAGCAACTCATGAGCTGCCACCACGCGAGACACAAGAATATCCTTTTCAATGTTTAAATATTTTAATATGTCGCTTCTCTCGGTATTGTAGTTGCAAGAATAGAGAAGTTAGATTATGATGTTTAATATCAAACTGGCTTTAGGTGTGAGTTTGTTTATTCTGCAGCATGTTATTTTTGGTTCTTACTGCTCTTTTTTATTGATCTGTAGTCATAGTTCAAATTTCATATACTTATGATGGTTCACCTCTTCTTTTGACTGTTTTAAAAAATGTGTGTGTCTTTTGTTTGTTTCCGGTTTCTCTCCAAATTGATCTGGTAAAAAGAGATAGGTGGATATGTACAAGGATATTCAGCAAGACATATGCAATCAAACATGCCTACCAAAGTTGAATGAGAGTTGAAAAGGTGTTTGCTGTGTCCTTAACTAGTGGAGTTCATAAATCGTAAGAGTTGTGTTGGTCTCTGTCTTTCTCTGTCTCCATCTCCATCTGTCTGTCTGTCAACCTCTTTACCTTGTCTAATGAAGTATAATTTTTACCAGATATTTCTCACACTCTGCCTCTCTGCATTTTGTTCCAGATTTCAATTCAATAGCAATGAAGGATCATTTTTTTTCAAGCATCAAGATCAATTAGTACTTGAAATAGATGCCAAGTTTTTCGCTGCATCTACTAACCATAACCTCTAATCTTCAAATGTGCGTGGGCTTTTCTAGAAGGGGTTATAACTGAATATGAGTTAATAGTCATGAGATGTAATAATGTGTTTGACTTCGGTGGATTCTCAGACTCCTATATTTGTTATATTGTGAATGACCATGTGTTGTTTTGCTAAAAAATCTTTCATTGATATCATTAGCCTTGCTGGATACCTCCATGTGTCTTTTTCTCTGCAATGTCCCATGTGTTTTTTGGAAGTGAAATAACCTTAAGTTTGTAAAAGTAAGACAACCTGCTGGAATGAACATATTTCTTTTAGAAATAATTATCCAATATTCCTTTGCTGTATGTCTTGACCCAATTCACTTATCAGCGACACTATCTCATCGTCAACCACATTGGGGCCATACGTGCTGAGCACGATGACTTCTCTATACGTTTTGCTTCATCTATGAATCAGGTAATTATTCCTGTGTTTTTGAGCTTATGCGCATCTATTTTTAGACATATAACATATCAGTGAATGTTGATGAGTGATGCTTGCTTTGGCAAACATGCATATACCGTGCAAAGATAAATAAATCTTCAATAATGAAGATTTGGTTTGTTCACATGCAGCATTGTGTAGCGATTATATGATTTTAGATATTGTATATATGTGTTCTGTCAAGATAATGTTCCTCAGTTTGATAAAGCATTCCACTAATAAATTTTTACCTGTGCAGCTTGTGTTACTGAGATCAATAGATAGTGCAGATATTGAGTGGGTGAAGGAAGTAAAAGGAAATGTTTATGATATGGTTGTTGAAGGTTTTCAACTCGTTAGTAGATGGACTTCACGCATTTGGGAACAATGTGCATGGAAATTTTCTCGTCCATGCAAGGATCCAGTTCTGACAGAGTCTAATGGGACACCAACATCATTTTCTGACTATGAAAAGGTTTGATCTGTCTGTCTTTCTCCTCTTGGATTTCTTCTAATGCTGATTCTGTCTCTTGGCATATGGAAGAAAATGTAGTTCATCTAAAGCAGGATCTTAAAGGTTTCAGTGACAGAACAAAGCATCATCCATGTATAATACTTACTGTAACTGCGGTTTTGTGTGAATGGGGGGTTATACAAGTAGAAGGGGTGTGCATTGATTTGGAATTCAAAAGTTTTTAGAATGGCGAAATTTAGAAGATTATGATCAATATGTATATTAAAAAGACTTTAGAAAGAGAGAAGAGCAGAATTTAGAGGAGGGGAGGAAGAAGTAGAAGCTAAAGAGAAAAAATAACCTAGGCGTCACAATCTCTGCAGAGGATAGTTCATTTCCAGAAATAATCTTCATCCCGTAACCTGCCTCATACACTTGATACATGGCAACTTTATATGATAAATATCCTTGGGTACGAGAACTACTTGATCTCCAAGTAAAACTTTGTTGCCCAAGAACAAACTGGAGCCTAAGGTCTAATAGCACATTTTTGTCATCAAATCACTATATTAAACCTTCCTAGTGAAGCATTAGACGAGATTTTCTTGGGCTATGTATACTTGCAACAATTTAATGAAAGTCAGTTTGAAATCCTTGGGAAGTTCCAAAAGTGTTTCTTCCCAAGTTCAAGGTTCTTCTCTTTTGGTATATTGTGTTTCTCATTACCCTGCATCATACACGTGCCTGAGTTTTTCATTTCAGCTTGCTTGGTCTGTCCTCTGGTTGCCTTCTTCTACGGCTTTTGTTGACCAAAAGCTTCTGTGAAGCTGCTGCTAGCGTTGTTCTTTTCCTGGTTGTCTTTGCCACAGCTATTACCGTCTATGCTCAGCCTTCTGCCATGAAATGCTTATTTCTGTGATACTATATCATTTATTGGCTTCATAAGTTCACAGATTGTCAGTCAAGAGTTGAATGATGTTACTATTTTTAATATCATCTAGGTGGTACGATATAATTATAGTGCTGAGGAAAGGAAAGCTTTAGTTGAACTTGTGAGCTACATCAAAAGCATTGGGTCAATGTTGCAGAAGGTTGATACATTGGTGGCTGATGCATTATGGGAGACTATCCATGCAGAGGTCCAAGACTTCGTTCAAAACACGCTGGCTACTATGTTACGCACCACCTTTCGGAAGAAAAAGGATCTTTCCAGGTTGGAACTTGTTTCTTCGTTTTTCTCCATTGGCATTTTACAAAAGACAGTCAGAAAGAGAGTTTAACTGTCCAAAACATTTTCTCAAAAGCTTGTAGTAGTTGTATTTTCACGTGTACCTAGAGTAAGACAATGATTGTAGTACCAATGTTGTAATCATACTTAATGTTGAGAAACATGGATGTTGGAGCAATGATAAAAACCTTTGATTAGAAACTGAAATTTCTGTGACAGAAAATATTTTACAGTTTCAACATGATGCAAAATGATAACTTTCTTGTTGGGTCCACTAAATCTCTCAGTTGCAAAATAAATCTGTTCAGACACAAACATATATTAGTCATTTCTACTGAATGGATACTGTTGTCATAGCTGCTTTAGTTTTTCTTGAAATGGTGCTTCAGAAAGAAGTTAGTACTCTATTGTTGGAGTCCATTATGTATTTGATCTGCACACGGGAAAAGGTTTTTCCTTCTAAATGTCCATAATCTCTTCCTGGAATCAGGAGATAAACAATAAGCAGTTTACAGTATGCTTTGTTTGCTCTAGCCAACTGTAATTTGCTGATACAAAGTTAACGGAGTAACTTATGTCAGGGAAAAAAGTTTCTTATTCCTTATTAGGGTACAGAAAACACTACTTTGAGTCTAGAAAATTTTAATATTGTTCTGCAATCCAGATATATGATGTCAAGGTCATTGCATGAGGAGAAAAGTGAGAAGATGTTTATTATGTGTGTGTTCCAATTCCTAAACTGGGACTGTATTTGCAGAAGTGCACGAGGTAGAAATATATGCGCTTTGGTAAATCAGGCAGTCATTTTTCTGGACAAGTTGTGAACCATCTCTTGAATTACACAGTCTTTCCATTTACAAGTTACAGTCTACCTACTTTGAGGTTCCCTTGTGGCCATAAACATCATTGGTCCTGATGCAAATAGAAGCTTCCTGAGATTTTTTGTGCTTCAGTTCGTGTCTTTCTTAATTTTCAAGTTTCCTTAGGTCCACATTTCTTGGTGCTATGAATGCGGGTACTTCTATTATCCTTATAACGATATTTACCCATTTTATTTTCCTTGTCTATTCTTGTGCTTAAAGGGATTATTACAAGCCTAGTCTGTATGTTTTTTGAGTTCAGGCACCTCAGAGTGAGAGCAGAATCTAAGTGGGACCAAAAATATTTGCTGTCCTCTAACACTTTACGTATATGGCTAATTTCAGGATACTCTCTGACATGCGGACGCTTTCAGCTGACTGGATGGCAAATACAAGTAAACCCGAGTCAGATTTACAATCATTTCCCCATGCAGGTGAAGAAAGCAAAGTGAACTTCTTCTATCCAAGGCCTGTAGCACCAACAGCTGCACAGGTTTACCTCCAATTTATTTGCTTGTGTTCTATGTTATTCTTGTGACTGTTTGTCTCACCTATGCCCCTTCTCCACAACCTGACCTGCTTTTGGTACCAGCTGAAAATATGGTGACCTCATTGCATTTTTGTTGCTCTGAAAAAATTTTATGGTAGTTCAGAAATAATACAAAGAGAGACATGGCAACTTTATTGAAAGGATCTCCTACCTTTTTGCAAATTCACTAATGCAATGTTTACAAAATATCAGTTGCCAATTAAACGTCAACTGTCTTCCGTAATCTGCATGTGCTTAATTCTTGCTGCTGTCATGAAGGCATTAGACTAAATTCATGTTTGACTATGTGCTAAATATCCTAGATAACATTCCTGGGATAAAATATTGAAACTTAGTGTTATCTCCTACTCCTCAGGTTCATTGCTTGCAGTTTCTAATATATGAGGTGGTATCGGGTGGAAATATGAGGAAACCAGGTGGTCTATTTGGGAATACTGGTTCTGAAATTCCTGTTAATGACTTGAAACAGCTAGAAACGTTCTTCTACAAGCTTGGATTTTTCCTGCATGTAATCGATTATACAGGTCTGGCAAATTGATCATTTCTAAGCTCATTATGCATAATCCTTTGTCCCTATGTTTTATGTTGGTACCACATATTAGATTCTGCACTGCATAGTTGCAATGGATTTAATTATAACATCATGTTTACGACTTGGTTTGGTATCCTAGGTTATCAGTTCATGATACTTGTCTCCACATTAATTTAAAAGCACAAAATGTAAAAGCTCTCTATACTTCTTCACTACTTGTACAGGCTTGACGGATTTAACTACTGGTCACTTAATCTTCAAGCTTACTTTACTCTGGCTCTGTTAAACAACATCATGTTACTCTGGCTCTGTTAAACATCATCATGTTTACAAAAATGTTTGTGTTGGCAAAAGATTAACCGGAAGGCTGTGGATAATGAGACATCTGGTAAATGTCCGTGTATACCAGTGCATGCTATTAAATTGTATAACCTCAGTGAAATCCTTAGAAGCTTATTTATTTGCCAAAATTGGAAAAGAAGTGTTCTCTACGAAGTTCCAGTCACACATGGTTGTTTTTACAGTGGAGTTTATCTTCTGAAGTTTCCAGATTTATTGTGGTAAATACTGGACCTAGGAGAAGAAATTTGACTTTGTAGTGAATGAATATAACTGGCCATATTCTTTGGAAGAGCCAAAGAGTTTGTGTTGATTTATCTTTGTAGAGCTCCCTCTCTACTCTATTGAAACTGATAGTTCTCTTTGATTTCTTTATTTGTCCACCCTTTTTTTCATTTTTTTTTCAATGATGTTCTTTACAACAATCTTTCACTCAGTTTAGGCTCAGAGATAGCATTGTCCTGTCTTATCTACTTGGGCCGCATGCTTTTTTGTCCATTATTCAGCATCAAATATTGACCTTAAGTGCAAGGCTAGATGTCTTTTCTGGTCCACTGCTTGTCTCCATGTTGTCCAATTTGTCATTTTTATCATCTAATTTACGATGTAAGTGTTGGGCCTAAATTTTATTACCTCATAGGTCTACATCTCTAGGTAGTCAAGACTATAAATTTTGAGTTTGCTGTGAGATTCATCTGACATTATTCGAACTGACAACAGGAAATTTGTTGATACAAAGATGGTTGAAACTATTTCTTTATGAAGGTTTTAAACACTGGGAGTTATGCAACTTATTCCAGGCTGAGATACAAAAGTAATCTTTGATTGATCATTTCGTCTAAAGACTCATCTCCACGTTGGCTAGAAGCTAAATGGTTTGACATACAAAATCAGTATCCTTGCATACTAGAATCTTAAAGCATTTTGTGCCTAGCCTTTCAGATACCATGAACCTAGATCCTCATGCATTAGTGTCACGTTCTTTGCAGCAATGGGTCAAGTATGGTCTATTTGAATGTAAACCATCTGTAGGAAATATTTCTGCACAGGCTGCATTAGAAAGGTGCTTACTGCAAGGGCATTTCTATAACATAATGTGATACTAATGTACACAAAAGAAGTGTACATTCTATTAAAAGTGAGTATACGTGCCCTGCTGTAAATTGGACAGGTTCTTCCTCTGTTTTAATTAGGAATAGAAGTTTGCCCCCCCCCCCCAAACAAATTTTCCCTTGTATATACATATGTCTATGATTTCTACTTTTCTGTTTTACAAGGTGATGTAAATTTCAAAATTATTCTTCTTGATATGGGTTTGGAGGCCAGTGCATGACACACTTGTATGGAAGGCATATAATGCAAAAAGTAATTGTGTTTTGTTCTATTAACTCTGGCATTTTTCAATTCTCAAAATATGTGGATTCTTAGAATCTTTTTGCTCTTTCTGGTGTATCTAGGCATATTTATGCTTAGTTTGAATTTGCTTGTCCAATTCTGTGTTTAAAAACAGCAGTGTTGCTATAGCATGATGATCAATCTTTGCTGGAGAAGCACTTAAATCTCAGTGATACTGTTCATTGGCTAACTTGTCCATTCCTATTCTTCTAACCTTTCTGTATATGTACATCTTAATAAATATCAGTAAGTAGTCAAGTACTTGAAATGCTGATAGCAATTATCTTTCTTAGTAGATTTCGAGTTAAATAACTGTGAGCTTTTCCTTAATGCAGCAACAGTTGCCACAATCACAGATCTTGGTTTCTTATGGTTTAGGGAATTTTATGTGGAATCTTCTCGTGTTATTCAGGTAGATGAACATCTAAATACATTTCTAAGATATATTTTACTAGCTCCTCTCTTCGTAATGCAGATTGATCTGCTGCAGTAACTCATTTTTCTTTTCTTTTTTTTGTTTTTTTTTTAAAATAAGTACTTTTCACCCTGACTTCATCTTTTCTTAGATTAACTTTTGATAATTTGGTGTCTAACTTAGTATGGATATCAAATTGCATGCATAGGACTGCTGCATCTCAAGAATTTAATGTCACTTAACATTGAGACTTATAAGACTAAGGGTGCGTTTGATAAAATTGACGTCTGAAATCTGAAATCTGAAGTCTGAATCCATTAAGTTATTGAATTGTTAAGTATTAAATCTAATACATTTGAGTGCATATCACATTCAGTGGTGAATAGTTTATCACTTAATTTTGGGAGCTCGTGTTATTCAGGTAGATGTACATTTAAATACATTTCTAAGATATATTTTACTAGCTCCTCTCTTCGTAATGCAGATTGATCTGCAGCAGTAACTCATTTTTCTTTTTTCTTTTTTTTTTTTGTTTTTTTGAAAATAAGTACTTTTCGCTCTTAATCTTTTCTCAGATTAATTTTTGATGATTTGGTGTCTAACTTAGTATGGATATCAACTTGCATGCATAGTACTGCTGCATCTCAGGAATTTAATGTCAAGTTTTGCCTAGAAAATTTAGTGCCACTTAATTAATTCAGATGTTCAGTTTTTGGTTATCAAACGGTATGAATATGTTAAGATCTGAATCTATTAAGTTAAGTGCTGAATTGGATTATCAAACAAGGCCTAACTTCCAGATCTGAAAATGAAATAGTGAACTTGTCAAAATTTCAGCATCCAATTTTTACAGTATAGGAACTGCCGTATCCTTTAGGGTTTCTCCTGCATCTTAATTGAGGTTCTTCTATCTCCAATTGTAGTTTCCTTGTGTTTAAAGGACTTGTATTTTGCTTGCAGTTTCCAATCGAATGCTCTCTTCCTTGGATGCTTGTGGATCATGTTATGGAGTCTCAAACCATGGGTCTTCTTGAGAGTATCTTAATGCCATTTGACATCTATAATGATGCTGCCCATCAAGCTTTGGTTGTCCTCAAGCAGCGTTTCCTCTATGATGAAATTGAAGCGGAGGTATTTTACTTACTAGTGCTGATTGCTCATCAGAAACTTAAAACAAAAGAAGCTGTTGATAGATGAAGCGTTTATAGTTGATAAACACTTCAGTTGAGTTTGCTAGAGGAATCTGGATCGTATAATATTTAATTAGATAATCAGGACATGAAACTAGGAAATTTTGCTGTTAACTTTATGAGTAGGTCAATAATGTGGTAATAGCTATCACAACTCGTCCAATGAATAGTAGTTTTTCCCATATTTATCTCTTTGAATTTTTGTAACGGAGAACCTCTCATGCCAGTGTTGTAGATTGATTCATGACTAGTGAGTACCAAGAATATTAACTCAATGTTGAATATTTGTGACTGTCATACCTGGGATTTAATATTCTAGAAGTATAAATACTGTTTGTCTTTTCTTTTTTATTTTTCTTTTTATTTTTTATTCTTATAGTGGGTTTCTTTAGCTTCTTAACTTTTACGAGGGATTTCTTCCTGAAATACTTTCCCACCACAGAAAACCATGCATAATTATCTTTTTCTTTCCATCAGGTGGACAATTGCTTTGATATATTTGTTTCAAAGTTGTGTGACTCTATTTTTACTTACTATAAGAGCTGGGCAGCTAGGTATGTAGTTCTGCATTTAAGTTTTTTGCCTACCAGAAATTATTTTATGTGAAACAACTCTCATCTGTTGTCAAATTCTGCAGTGAATTACTTGATCCTTCTTTCCTCTTTGCACTGGATATTGGTGAAAAGTTTTCACTCCAACCAATGAGATATACTGCGCTTCTGAAAATGACTAGAGTGAAGGTGCGAAAATCTTGATGTCATACCAATAAAGAATTCTTTTTTCTGTTATCCCATGGCTTAGGCTTTGTTTTGATTTGTTACTAAACGTGCCTGGTGATTGAATGAGTCTTGGTTTCAATTCCTCCAAATTTTCTCATGATGTTTGTTAAGTTGGAGATTATGATGGTTCAATCAAAGCATATATTCATTTGGGATCTTATCCTACAGGATTGTCATATGCTGGACATCTTTTTCTGCAGTATTTTCTGCCTTGGAATGTCATACAGCATAAATTGTGAAAATTTAGGTTTATATCTACTTCTGCTGTCCAAAATGAGAAAATAGAATAATTACATTTGACCTTCTATAAACAATTTCTTGAATATCGACAATAATGATACAGACAAAAATGCTTTGCTACATTCATACCTAGTTGTCCAGGAAAAAGCTTGACTGCATTCTGCAGAAAAAAATGGGATGTTTTAATGGTAGAAGCAACAGGTTTCTAAAGAAAACAAAGTTTAAGCTGGCTATTTTTAGTAATAATTTAATAAACTATGTGGCAAAGAGGTTATTCAATTAATGATGGTATGATGACTGAAATGTAAAAGAATTGATATATATAATGATAAGCTTTAGGCAAATGTCCTGCCACTGCAGGGTGGCTTTTCTTGGAGGAAAAAGATTTAAACTTGGTGATATTTCATGAGCCTTGAAGCATAGCTTTCATAGCTGAAGGATCTATAGCTGGTTATGTATAGCTTTCATAGCTGATGGATGAGGTCTAAACTTGTAAGACTCGTGGCTGTATGTTTGGAGTGTTGTCTCATTTATCTTCAAGAGGGAATTTTGATCATTATTTCCCGTTGATCATATTAATTTGTCATGACTCGTTAACAAGTGTATCATAAATATTACTGTACTGCTTCATATTTTACTGGTACGCATGTAGGTAGACTGACTATGATTGGAATTAGTTTCAGTTGTTCATATGCATTTATTCTGTCTTGTATGATTTTTTTTCCCTTCGGTGATTGAATACAGTTGCTTGGACGGACAATTGACCTGAGAAGCTTGATTGCTGCAAGAATGAACAAAGTATTCAGAGACAACATTGAATTTTTATTTGACCGCTTTGAGTCTCAGGATTTATGTGCTATTGTTGTGAGTAATCCTTGAGTACCATTTTCTCCAGTATATTGGTTCTTGAGTATCTTGGTGCTCATCTTCGCAGATTTGTTACTGTGGTTTCAGGAATTGGAAAAACTTCTCAGCGTCTTACAACTTGCTCATGAATTACTGTCAAAAGATCTTACAATAGATTCATTTAATCTTATGCTCAATGAAATGCAAGAGAATGTGTCCCTCGTTTCCTACTCCAGTCGGCTTGCTTCTCAGGTTAGAATTATTATTTCTGTTGCAAAATTTCTGTTGCCCCCCCCTCCCCCTTCCTTTCATGGACAAACACTCAGATCTGGGATTCCAGCCAGTTCTTCAGAGAGGATTGGATAAATGCTAATAGGTCATGCTTCAACTCAAGGAGCTTCAGATGACTGATCGATACACCTGTTTTTAAATACAAAAAGAAGAAGTCTGCACAGCTCCATGAGGTGTTATATTTGTGTATGTTAGTGGTCTGCTTCTGGTAGGGAAATTCTTATGTGTGTCTTGTAGCTAATGTTGATGCGAAAAGGTGGCTATTTGAGGTATTATGCTACTTATAAATGGACAATGGCAAAAAAAAAAATTTATACTTTGTTCAGCTAACAGTTTCAACCTGTAACAACTCTTTTAAAATGTTAAGGAGAAAATGTTTAAAATAGTAAAAAACCTTAATTTAAATGGGAGACCATATATTTTTGGGTAAATTACATATAACCCCCCTGTGGTTTCACCTATTGTCACATGACCCCCTAACATTTCAAAATTTCCACTTCCTCCCCAATGGTTTTATGTAAAGTGGAAACTTGATAGAAAATAGCCTATGTAACGTTGTTAGTTGAAATACTAATAGTGCCCTTACTTAAATGCTAAAAATAAAAGCATAGGGGATTACGTGGATAAATGCAAAAACCACGAGGGCTAAAGTGGATATTTATACGAACTATAAGGGGGTTACATGGATATTAAGATTTTATCACAGGCGCTTTTAAAGTGCGTTTGGTATAAACACCGTAACTGATTGTGCATTCCGTTCATTTTCCACTTTACATAAAACCAGGGTGGGTTATGTGGCTATTTTAAAACCCTGGGGGGGGGTTATCTGGCATTATGTAAAACCACAGGGGGTAATAAGTAATTTACCCTATATTTTTCTTCAAATTGTCAAGGACTGTAGACTAATGACCAGTCTAATGCACAGGAAATGGGTGACTAACATTTTTCTTTCGCTTATTTATTGAAGCTAGTTCATGTGTTAATTGATTTTCGGAAGCACCACAAATTGATGGTCTAAACTCATAATGATGAATATTTTGTTCAAGGCAATTTGATGATCATTGGCATCTGTACTGAAATTCATGATGGTTAAACTGGAAAGGAGAGAAACAGTACATATAGGAGTCAATGAGCAATAGATAAAGTCATTTGATTGAATTTGATGATCAGTTGTTTTCTAGACTTTGATTCAATTTGAAAAAAAATATTTGAATTTGTTCTCTCTACTTGAAGTAATAGGGCAATTTTGACGATAAGTACGTACTTTTATAGTGACAACATGATAGTGAATGTTGGTTGATAAACTAAACTATTACTTGCCCATTTAAATAAGCAATTATGGTTTTGCACGACTCTATCACCTCCTGGTCCTCAATTTTCTCTCACTTCAGATACTATTATTCTGAAGGTTTAGTCCCCCCCATCACTTCAGATTCTGTTTACCTCGCATTTTGCCAATTCTTCTTTTTTTTTTTGGAAAGTTAAAAGACCAAAATCTCTTTGTTGCTGAATAAACTAAGCTATGAAGAGCATACATTGAGGAGAGGTTTTTTTTTTTGAATTATTAGTCATTTGAGTGAGCAAAATTTGGCATCTGTAATGTTTTATTTTTCTTTTTTCTTGTATTTGTTTCTTATGCTAAATCTCTGGTGAATAGCAGTCAAAAGTGTAAAGTGTGTGCTTAAGTGCAGATCCCAGTATAGCACATAGGTTGTGGCTATTGACATGTGAAGTGGAGCAACTTTATATTAAGCACAGTAAAGTAAACATTTCAAGTGAAAAGGGCATACAGTTCAGAAGAAGTTGCACTAAGTTCAACCTTTTTATTTTAGTTTCTTCATAGATTGTTAAAGTACATAGCATAAAGCGATGGTGGATTCATGGTTCATTTGCTGATTTCTTTTAATTAAGGACACATAACCATGATGACTTGACTTCTATATGTTAGTATAAAATGTATAGTGAGAAATATTAATCATGGTAAGCCCTGTAAGTTTTAGCCGATTGCACATGTCCATGGTTGCATGATATGATGAAAATGATGTATAGTTTGTGAACCTGATTTCAGTCATCAGCTGACTGTGGTGTACGAATTGCCTTGCACTTTTCAGAAGTTCTTTGTTGTTATACACAACGAGTAACTATTGAATGTGTTAAACTCTGAAGGCTCCAATTAAGAGCATGATTTGTACTAAAAGAAAATATAGCATGAAGTTTGCTTTGGAAGAAGAAAATGGCCTATGTAGTCACATATAGTTAAGGCCTTGTATGTTTTCTTTCACGTTAGGATATGTACAGTTATCCTCATTTAAAATTCTAAGAGATTTGATTTGGAAATGGTGTCTAGTGGTCGAAATTGGAGTTTCTTGGAGTCAAATAGTATTAAACACATAGTAGAAGATTGAGCAATTCTAGTTCATGCACAATGGTAAAGCCAAAAAAAAAAAAGCTTAATCTAAAGTATACACTGAGAATGAATGTTGCTGGACTTTTACAACTTTTCTTGATTTCAGGAATGCCTGTACCTTTCGTTTCTCTCTGTCTCTCTCTCTCAACAAATTTAGTTGCTTACGACAGTTTGGATATATTTCCAGATATGGACAGAGATGCAAAATGACTTCCTGCCAAACTTCATCCTATGCAACACAACTCAGCGTTTTGTTCGATCATCAAGAGTTCCTATTGTTCCCGTTCAGAAGCCATCGGTCCCCTATGCAAAGCCTAATTTCTACTGTGGTACTCAGGTAAGAAAATATCACTAAATCAATAAATTCAATCAATAGTTCAAAGTTGATTCATCCAGTGTAGCTTTATTGCAAGGTCAACATTCTGTTTTATGAAAATATTTCAACGGGTTACACATGGTAAATAAATTGCTTTGAGTCAAACACCTGCAAATGGCTGCGTGGCTTGCTTTCCTTGCTATGTCCTCTTCCAAGTACCTTTCCTTTTTTTAATCTCATATGATTTCAGTAATAGCTCTTTTGCTAAAATACCAACAAATCAAAAACCTACTCGTGCTTTTGTCTCCTAAGTTGAGCTTAAATGGTGCTAATAATGGTCTGCATTGTGATTTGCACAAACATTTGGTTAGAGGCTTAAAATGGGAAAAGTTAGGCTTTGGACGTTTTACTTCATTATTCGATATTACTATTGTTGACATATTACCATAACAAGTTTGGCTGGGTAAGTACATGAAAAATTAATTAATGTGGGTGAGTTGGAGCCATGGAGAAAATATTTGATAACCCTAACTGACTGCCCAATGGAGGAATGGACTGCGAAGGGTAACATAAGTCTAATTAACGGATGGTAGGAAATGGTTGCTCAAGTAGGATTGGTTCTTGTAATTTTTCTATTTTAGTTGGTAGACTATCCTATTTCCTCATGTCTACAAGTTGGAGATATCTGAAACAGAAAGATCAAGTATATGCTCCACTTTACAAAAATTGAATGCCCGACATGTTTCCTTCTTTGATTACGATAATGATTAAAACTTCTAATATTGGGATTTGGTACTTTCTAAATCATAAATAGCTTATTGGAGTGTGTGAGTCTCTCTGAATGGTTTAAGAAATATGTTGAGGGGTCAGACGTTACCCTCTTCTTTTCTACATTGTTTTGGCTGTGTGTTTGAATGTCACCATTTTTACACTCCCTCCTAAAACTTACATGAAGTCAAACTGGAAACTTCAGTTTTGAATTCAGTGTCACAAAATTTGCTTGCTATATTTGCTACTAAGGTGCCGAAATCTGGTAAAACACTACAAAGATAGGATGCCTTATCATTTTTTCAGTACTGGCAAAACATTGAAAAGAGTTAATTGAAGATGATGTCCAAAGTATAGGATTCAACGATTATGCAAGTTGCTGTCTTTCTCTAGAAGCTTTGTTCATTAGTTCTTCATACCTCATTTTCTTGCTGTTGGTCTTCAACTGCTTGTTTTTGTTTGAGTGGTAGTACTTGATAACCAAACCTTCTCATAAACATTTATCAACTTGTCCTTGTTTTTTGCCCTTTTTGTAGGATCTGAATTCAGCATACCAGAGTTTTGCTCGATTACATAGTGGATTTTTTGGGATACCTCACATGTACTCCATTGTTAGGCTACTGGGTTCTAGGTCACTGCCTTGGCTTATCCGAGCTCTATTAGATCATTTATCAAATAAGGTACATGTTACCTGACATATAGCTAAATTATAGTTCTTTTTGTGGTTGATAAATTTAACGCTTTTCAGATTGCTGATGCATTTATATCTTTCTTTATGTTCATCTTGTTTTTGTTGCTTTTTGCATTCCTGCGTATGCCAGGAACTCTTTTATTCAACTTCCTTTTTTTTTCTTTTTTTTTTTCTGACTTCCTGGTTATTATTTAGTGCATCATTACCTGTGCATCTTACTTTGGAAATACATGTAATTTTCTATGTTCTTATACTCTGGCTACTTGGGTTAGACGGTAAGTTTGATAACTCAACTGAAAGCCATCTACTAATTATCAGAATATCTTCCACAAAATGCCAGTCAGAAGAACCTAAAAGCTGCACTTCTCTTTCCAGCTATAAGTGCCTGTGCCAAAGTTTCCCAAGTTTGGAGTGCATTGTAATTCCTGTTGTAGTGTTATCCCCCTTTTCTGACAGCTCAGTGTATTGTCCTTTTGTTGCTTGCTTTAGTGATGGCTAGATCATGCAAATGTGGATTTGCTTTGAACATGTTTGAGAAGAAAATGATATCTGGTGTAGCAGTCTTCAGTTTTTCTGTTTCTTTCTCGATAAAAAGCATCTTAGGAACCTGAGCAAGTGCTTATGGAAATCAGAAGCATTTTTTATGGCCTTTATATAGCTTAGGATACTTGCTGATGTATTGTCACATAAAAAATTGTGCAGTCCTCCCTTTTCCACATGTTGCCGAAGGCTTGCTATAAGTTGGTTGCTAGATGGTTTATTTGTATGTAAATTACTTTTTGCAAAGCATTCCAAGTTTTTTATTCTGAAAAAATCAGAATTTGGAGAAGCACACACATCAGAAAACCTGCAGATGCTCGGCTTCTTATTAGGAGTCGGATTTTAAAGTACCCCATTTTGGTTGATCAAATTGATAGAATATATAAGCTGGAACCCAAATAGTTGCAAACTGTTGCGCACCTATGGAGGTCATAATTTCCTAAGGAAAAAACTGACTGTGTCATTAGATAATGTAGGTGCATTTAAACATGCCTTGAGAACATCAAAAGCATATAGATCTATTTTAGGCGGTCTCCAAGTCTGTGATGTAGATCTAGTTCAGTACAGTTGTAAGAATTTGACCTCCACTGAGGGAAAGGGAGGATAATAAGTTTGGTTGTACATATATATCTTTGCGATTCTTATAAATCCAATGCATCAGCAACTGTATTAGCTTCCCTGTAACAATGTGAGAATCGAGCAAGATCCTCGACTAACTGCAAAATCTACCGGACTTCTCTACGGATTTGCCACGGGCACTGAATGCTCCGCTGGAGAACCCCAACTAAGACCAATGAGTCCGATTGCACCCATAGATTACTCAAGTCCCAGTGAACACACGTTTAAAGACCAATTAGAAGGGCCAACGTCTCCGCGCGAAGACAAGTAGTTTCCTCAAAGAAAGCCGAAAAAGCAATCAGAGGCACCCAATTGAATCCCGAAGAACCCCACCGTCTCCACCCACTCTTGGATTACCCTTAGAGCAACCATCGTTATTAAGCACCAGCCTCCCCATCTCATTCGCCTCCCGGCGAACAAGTTTGAAGTCAAATATACTGGCAGGGGAATTTGACCAATCGAATAACTGACAGAATGTTTGCAACCCAAGCATTTGTTTGAAATGGATCTCTATGATGGATTTGATTTTCGAGAAAATGGCTTGACAAATGACAGAAGACCGCATCTGTTCACCCTCAAACATTGCTTTATTTCTAGCCTTCCAAATATGCCAACAGATAAAACTTAGAAAGATAAGGCAAATAAAACGTCGCGTCACAGACTCTTGTGCCCGCAACCACCAGTCAACTATGGGAGCTCGCAGTGAAGAGCCCGGAGAGTTCAAACCGCACAGATATGCAAAATAAGACCAGACCTCCATCGCTATGTGACCATTGGCAAACACATGCTCAATAGATTTCTCAAATGCAGCTTGACAGCAAAAACATTTAAGGCAAATGGAACCCAAGTCTACATAAAGTATCTGGCAGCGGTAGCCTCCCTATCAAAAGCCGCAACATAAAGAATGACACTTTCAAAGGGAGCCGAGGATGCCAAACCTTAGAGAAAACCACCGACGTGTTATGGGCCTGTCGAACGTCCCGAAAAAGCAGATGCTAATGTGAATGTTCCAGACGTCATTGGCAACCAAATGACTTCATCTGCACACCCTCCGTCATGGACCGAGTGCTGTAAGATGGAGGGAACAATGCCCCTGGCAATGTTTGAAGCAAAAGATTTGCGTCCCAGTGCCCATTGGTAATGAAATTACAAAACGAAAGAGATGGATCAATTGCTGCTCTAAGAAATAAAGCGCCACTGCCTACCCAGTTGTCGTACCAAAAATGACACGACCCGGCATTGACTAACCATACCATAGAAAGTTCACATGTTGGCTCACGTTCAACATCCGCCTCCAAATTGTCGAATCCGTCAATCTCATTTCTGCTTGACAAGGGTGGATCATTCTGCAATACTTAGCTTGCATGAAAGCAGCCCACAGTGATGTTCCCATTCAGAAACTCCACCATAGTTTACATGAGAAAGCTGTGTAGACGTCCCTTAGTCTCCGAAACCCCACTCCACCCTCCTCAACCGGGTAGCACAGCTGAGCCCACCGTATCCAGTGAAACTTCTACTCTTCAGATGTTGACCCCACAGAAAATTCTAGCAAACCTTCTCTCTAGTGTTAAACACCAAGCTAGGGATCACAGCAGCGGACATCAAGTGTACTATTGACGACAACACGTGCTTGATTAAAACCATCTTGCCCCCGCAGATAGAAACTTCGATTTCCATGACAAGACCCGTCCAAGAATAGACTGACACACTTCACCATAATAAGAAGATTTACACCTCCCAAAGTAAAGCGAAAACCCTAGTAGCGGATAGGGAAGGGCTGCCAAGTAAACCTCGTGACACGTTCAATTCTTCTAATCGGGGACAATGACGGATGAACCAAGTAATCACTTTTTGAGCATTTATCAGCTGACCGAGCACCGTTGATACATCTCCAACACCTGTATAATGTCCTTCAGAGAGGAGGAGGACTCGTTAGCAAATATAAGCACATCATTCGCGAACGCCATGTGAGTTACAGAGGGGCAGTTATATGAGACTTTAAAGCCCAAGAAACCTGATTGCACCATGAGGGCATTCAAGCCTCTCAACAGGACCTCAGCCCCTATAATAAATAATACCGGTGACAACGTGTCACCCTGACATAACCCTCTCATAAATTTATAAAAAGTCGTGCGAAAACCTATTGATAATTACTGAGAACCAAACATTAGACAATAGCCGCCATACCAGATCTATGAAGCGCTCGCCGAAACCAAACCTCCACAAGACACCAATAATATGCAACCAAGATACCCTGTCATAAGCCTTGGACATGTTTAACTTCAAAACGACATTGCCACCCCTAGTTTTTTTCCCAATACCCGACACCACCTCCTGAGCTAGCAGATAGTTCTCCGATATATTGCGACCCTTAACAAACCCTGACTGCTGGGGGAAATAATCCTTGGCAAGACACCAGCCACTCTATCAGCCAAGATTCTGGATAACAACTTGTTAAAGAAATTACACAGGCTAATCGGTCTAAATTGAGAGAGATCCTGTGGATTCGAGACCTTAGGAATCAGCACGATCGAGGTAAAGGTGATGAATAGAGGAAGTTCTGCCCTACAAAAAAAGTTGAGTACCGCATTATAAACATCCTGAGCAACAACCTCCCACGCAAAGGTGTAAAATTTACCCGTGAATCCATCGAGGACAGTGCCCTCACCACTTGATGAACCTCCTCTATAGAAGGAACCGCCTCTAACATGCAATTGTCCTCCCCTGTAATCAAGGGTAGAATGAGGTGCAACATATCGGAAGCAGACTCCAAAGGTCCAGAGAAAAGATCAGAGAAGTACGTTATTGCCTCACTTGCTATCTCAGCCTCCGTATCCACCCAATCACCCTTGGACTTCTGTATTCGATATATCATTTCTTAGACCCGTCTTTGCCTAACCACCGCATGAAAATACCGTGAATTACGATCTCCACTTCGAAGCCATTTTACTCGAGTCTTTTGACTCCAGTACTGCTCTTCAATAGACAAAGCATAACGTGGCTCCACTTAAGCCTTCTTGAGCTCAACTTGACCCGCTACCGAATCATCATGATCCACGGCCTCCTCAACCCTTTGCACCACAGCCTTCGCCTCACAAACAGCATCGAACACATTTCCAAAACATTTCTTGTTCCAACCCTGAATAGCCCTCCTCGTCGCCAATAATTTAGAGTACAAAACACGTAATGGGGAACAACTGGCTTCTTGACCCCAGGCATGTCTAATCACCTCCAAGAGCTCTGGTTTAGTTGTCCAGACATTCAAAAATCGGAATGGCCTTGGCTTATTGTCAATCCAAGAAGTAAACAAAATCTTCAATGGCGCATGGTCCGAGAGATGTCTCGCCAAATGAACCACAGAGATGGCTGCATAAAAATCCAAACATTCCCCATTGATTAACAGCCTGTCCAATCTCTTCGAAACTCTAGCTCTACCTCTCCGATTATTACACCACGTGAAGTTAGGTCCCGAAAAGCCCACGTCAAAAACCCCAGCCTCCTCCAAAAAGGACATAAACTCCACCCCTTCAACTACATCAAACAGACGGTCTCCCCGTTTTTCATGAGGTGCTATTATGACATTAAAATCCCCCCCAATGCACCATGGCAAAGAGTTAGGCTTATCCGCTAATAAGTTGCTCCAAAGTTCTCTTCGCTCCTCCACGAAGCACTTTGCATGAACAAAAGGTATTATGATTGGCCGGGCATCAACAAAGATTGCACAGAAAGAGATAAATGTTGACCCGAATTAACAACAATGGAACACACGAAAGAACTACTGTAGAACACCCAAATATCACCCGAGTGATTCACAATCACAAAATCTAAATGTAAACGTAACCGAATGGACTCAATTTTAGATACATCTA